CAACATTTTGAAAAACTGCTTTAACTCAGTATTGGTCCTGAAATTTAAATTAAACTAACTCTGCAAAAACCACCAATCCATATCCAGTAAACAAGTGTCACAATTATGTTTGTATAAATGGTTTTTGTTTTTTTTGTAATAAAGAAGCCAGTAACCGATTTTCTGTGTTTAATTGAAATTTACAAAAGTTATATTAACGTGAAAAGGAACGCGGACATTGAAATGAATTCCTATAAAAAGCGAATATAAATAGTTATCTTATATACATAACGAAATGTATGATATTTCTAAGTCGTGTAATTTGAAAAAAAAACATTTACGGCATATTCATGTTAACAGCATAAAATGAATGACAGTGTATAACAGATTCCCCGAGAGTCTTGAACAAAAGAAGAAAATTAAAAGACAAGGTTTGATTTTAACAAAAAGAAAAAAAAACTAATGATTAAAAAATGTGAAAAATAACAAAAATGAGCTAGGGCTTCTTAAACTATATGAATTACAAGAGAAATGACAAATGGTTATTCTTCATTCTTTCATGTCAGTCTCAAAAGATATTCCTATAAAGGTACCAGTTCTACTTTATGATGGAAACGTTACTACATTTTCAAAACATCAGCATTCTGTTTTATATGTGAGCCAAAGAAAGCAAAGTTGCTACAATGTTCTAACGCTGTTGTTTTTCTTTGGTAACATTCGCTGTTGTTTTTCTTTGATTACATACGCCGTTGGTTTTCTTTGGTTACATGTATGTTTACAATTCTATAATATACATATACTACCACAATGTATGAACATAATAGAGGTTATACCAACAAAACAAACACAATAACATGAGAGACAAACACAATGTTTTATAACAGTATAACACTTCTTACACATACAACACACACATTTACAATATCATTGTCTGACAGGTACTAATGATCTACCAATTATTGCTCTAAAATGTGAGGGTGTCCAACCATCGAAATGTTGATGAGAAACACACATTCATGTACAGTTATTTATTTACGTTCTCTACCCTATTCGAAGTCAATTAACCTGAAGCTATTTAAAATATTGTACAAGTACTTACAGATGCTTAAAGATCCCGTAACACAATTTTTTCATCGTTTTATTTCATAAATATGATGCTCAAATTAAGATTTGTCAATATTGTAAGTTCAAATAAGCCTTATTTATAAAGATATTACCCAATTTAACATTTCATGTAAATAAAGGGAGGTAATTAGAAAATTATTTTTTATAAATTCTAAATCAAAATTTCCTATAAGAAATGAATGCATGTAATTTATTGATTAAATATAAGGTGCACAAATATTTGCAGTACACGTTTTACATATTCTTTGATGTTTGAAAATTGTTTTATTTGCATAATTATATACATATAAATTTTTTTGCAAGTGTGGTAAACATACAGTAACTATATCAATCACAAAACATACAGGATCTTTAAAATGCAAATAAAACAATTTTCAAACATCAAAGAATATGTAAAACGTGTACTGCAAATATTTGTGCACCTTATATTTAATCAATAAATTACATGCATTCATTTCTTATAGGAAATTTTGATTTAGAATTTATAAAAAATAATTTTCTAATTACCTCCCTTTATTTACATGAAATGTTAAATTGGGTAATATCTTTATAAATAAGGCTTATTTGAACTTACAATATTGACAAATCTTAATTTGAGCATCATATTTATGAAATAAAACGATGAAAAAATTGTGTAACGGGATCTTTAAAGACTTTTAATAACTATTAATAACTTTTATCTAGGACGTGTTTATTAGGGTCTTTCAAATAGAAAGACAGTGTGTTTATCAAAGCAGTCTGAAAATCTGAAATTGAAGACTTTTATGTACATGCTTCAAAACTTTATGAACAGGGCATAATTACCAGGCAATTTCCTATCCAGCTCAGCTGATTGCTTATCTACAAGTATCAATGACGAACGCTGACGAATTTTGACTGAAGAAAGTTTAGGTTATGAGTATTTTTATGTTTTACACATGTATATTGTCAAAGTACAGTGCAGTGTTGAACACAAAATATACTTTACATAACTTTTCGTCTTAATTGCATTAATGATTTCATTGATATTCAAAAAGTACGTTTTATCTACATGCATAAACGTAATACAGTTGACATCTTGCTAAGCTTTAACACATTTTTTCACTTTAAACTTTTATTCTTTTTGAATAAATTGTAAGTTGCATTTATACAGTACAAGTTCGTTCACCGTACTACTGCAATATTTTATTCTGTCATTTATGTACATTAAACCAGGTAAATTACATAACTTGGCTTCATCTCAAACAACGACAACGGAATGTTAGCACTCATAATATACATGTATACATGTATATCTAATCATTGTTTTTGTTAACATTATATATTTCCTAGAAAATATGTGAGTGTAATGTTTTCGGGACATACAGTGGAATGTCACGGTTAGTATTTTTGTATCCGGTTGTTCGTTTGCTTTGATGCTATGACAAAGATATATTTTTTTCTGCTTTTGTATGTTTAAATATTCACTTCGAAATAACAGGCGCTCTTATACTTTCTTAACTAGTCGATACGTAGTAGGTAATACCATTGTATTGATGGACATTTTCCAGTTGTCTTGAAATGTATTCTAGGTAGTCATGCTTGGTGCAGGCCTTCTTTGTGAATGAAAATATCACATCATGATTCATCTGTGAAATGCATTGTATCTACCAATACACTGTATCTTAGAATTCGTTTTGAAATCATTGTTAATATGAAGTCGTCGGAAAATTAATAAATATATTTTCACGTAATTTCATATAATTGTGACAGAGTGACTGCAAAATGCACTGTATCTTAGAATAATCACTTGCAATCATCGTTAATGGGGTCGTCGGCACAGTAGTAAAAATATTTTCTTGAAATAGTATATCATTATATTGGATAGGACAAATAGATCAAAACCAACACAAATTTAGATATCATTATTTTGAAATTATCACTATTGAAATGATTTAGAACAAATCCCTGTCACATTCAAAAACTACACATATAAATTAATCCAATAGATTAACGTGATATAATGTGATGTAGAAAACTTAATTAAAAATGTTATATCTTCAAATTGTAGCATCACTGAAAGAAACTTTTAAACAACTGAAACTTATTCAGCCAATGAAAACGCTTGGAAAAAATTAAAGTCTTTTGCACTTATCTAATCTACACACACGACCATTTTCAAATGGTTGGTTAACAATGATAGATATCTTTATTCAAATAATTAGAGAAGTATGATTACATTAAAATAGTTTTGCAAATGAAATCAGTTTGCTTTTGCTACGAGTTTGAACTTGATATTGCGTTTATTGAGGTAACATTAGTTTGTCCAACCGCACTAAACGTTTTGTTTATATACAAATTACTTTGTACAAAACTTGGCAACGAGTTAGGGATGGAACATTAAGGATGATAGCGGTTTCGATGAATTGTTGTGGATCTTAACGACTGCTGTACTAATAAGATAAGATTCTTGGCATTAAAATGGCAGTCATAAAATGTTAGAGAACGAAAAAAACCCACCAGGAAACGAAACTGTTGTAATAATAATCTTTCAAGTATGCGTTAACTTTATAGACATATAAATCACGTTGTATGATCTAGGTATGTTATGTTATGATATAGTACTTTAATTTTATACTCTGTATATCATTTCATGTTCTGTGAAATGTTACATGTCGAGTTGTTCTATATAAATAGTAAGAGCATAGACCAGAAAGTTTGAAATTGCTGTCGTTATTGTTATATATAATAGCTTCTCTAAGAGTATTAAATAGTAACATAATAGTGTTTATGTGTAAACTATATTAAAACATTTTCAATTCTAAGATCAGCTTTCATTGTAAGACTACTTGTATCTCTGAATATATAATCAGAATAATGTAAAGATCAAAATACGTATCAAACATAATCATAGCTTCTACTACACTTACTTATTTGAAAACTCGAAATGCTAAGGAAGGAAAGTAGGAAGTGAACAGGAAATGTACAAAAAATGTAGCAACAGTGGTCATACGTTTCCGACCATTCAAAGCCTTAAGTATATATTATAATTAACATACATGCAAAGTTGCAAAATTAATCATGTCTGTAAACGTTCCCTCCCTCAATATGCATTTATCTCATATCCAAACTCTTCACAATAATGGTGAAGAAGAAACACAGTTTCATAGTTAATGTTGTTTTTCGGTACATCATCAAACAATTACTTGAAGCAGATCTTGCAAGAATGATAATTAAATACCAGGTGCAAATCTACAAATTCTGCACGTCTGTAACAGCGTAACTGTGGCCTTGGCTTGCATTGAGGAATTCAGACAACATTATCTAGATATCGGTTATCGTTTTCATATTTTAAAATTTCAGCAGCGTTACAGTAATGTTGAATCTGCAAATGTATGATAAACTGTTGGTCCTGATAAATAAAATTGCACATTTGTTTTGAGTTTCGTAGAGATATTTTAACTTTTTGAATAATTTAAAAGATCATCTTCAATTACATATAGATTTTACATTTTTATTTAACATCACAACAAAGTACTGTACAGACATATGACGTATAGTTTTATGATTTATTCGTTTCATCCAAGAATCCTTAACTCGTACATTGTGTAATTTGCAGTGCATATTCAAAATCCTTGAAAAGGATATCATACGCACTGATTTATATGAAGCGAATTAAGAAAGTGTTTATAAACCTGATATCATAGACTGATGTTTAATTCAAAGTTTACGGCAAAAATAACATAAAAATACTGATGTTTCCTTTGTTTTGATTTTAAAATAAAACAAGATGAAATGTAACTATGGGTGTAATTGAGGCCGACTTCTATATTTCTTTTGATACGAGCCTGATTGGTAGTTTATGTCCATTCCCAGACTCAAGCTGAAACGGTACTACATCAGATCATTCAATTAAAATGTTGTTTTTTATATTTCAGATGAATAATTCAAATAAAGTTATAACTACACCACCAAGGTCGACAAAAATGAATCACGTGACAACACCTTCAAAGGGCAACCAGTTACACATCACCACAGACAAGCAGTCTAATAAATCAGACACTTTCTCGCGCACAGTTACAAAGCCACCCCCATCGCCATCACGTGACAGTCGTATATCATTCGTTTCTGACCAATCAAATCCGCCAGAAGATTTTACTTGGAGCGCATTCACGCCAATGTCTCAAGATGTGTTCGAAAATGCATACAAAAGACATAAATATTTTTACAAATTTAGTGACAAAGTTTTGAAACAAGGAACAAAAATGAAGACCAATGTTTGGGACGTTCCAGGAAAACCAGGCGAAACTATGACATATGAACAGTTGCTTCAAGGTAATATATAAGAATAATAGATAGTCCAAGAGCTCTTTGAACATCTCCATGTATATCCCATTTTTATCTTTACAATATTGTATTCCGTATTTCTCTATTTTAAATTTAAAACGTATACTGTAAATAATAAATTCAAATCACAAATTTTAAATACAACTGTAGTATGTACAAAAAATATATAGAAATAAAGGTAAAACTCGTTAAATAAGGGTAACTTGTAAAAAATTGAGAACTATGAACATATATCATTATAGATTAACTTGTTTTGTCCGTTTCGGGTTGTCTAAGCGTATATTGGCAACACATGACGTTTCTCGGACACGTGTGGATTATGCCTAATTTTGTTATTTATGGGGCATGCATGTTGCTTCGAGGAATGTTCCATTTATACAACAACACGTGCATCGCCTACTAGTGGAAAAAATATTTAACACACTCATTCTTACTCTATTTAGGACATTGTTTTGCAAAGGTTAAATTATGTAAGCGTATTGGTACCAGCAATTCAAATGATTCATTATACGTGTTAAAAATGAGGTCATATGTTAAAAATGAGGTCATATAGATATGAATAATTTTATTGAACAAAAGGCAAATGCCTGTGAGTACATATCAACAAGTACACGAACCACGAACACGAACCATCCGTTCATTATGTTGGTTATTTTTCATTATTTATCAAGTACTGTGACGTGACTTCTTTTATAATTTTTGTACCCCATACTAATATAATGAAAAATCTGCTTATAATAATGCCGATGACCTCTATATCACAAAACGCTGACATTGAAATAATCTGATTAGCACTCTTATGTTAAGAAATACTTTTACAAAATATTCAATAAAAAATTATGATTTTCCTCTTAAACTTCAAGTATGCAATAAAATATAATATTTTCTTGATTTTGCCTTCAGTAAAAGTGCAAACTATATTTCAAAATCCATTGAAATAGTGATTTATTTGATATTGAAAAATTGGTGAAAAATAACATGTTGATGTTTTTAGATGTAACTTGTATCTTTTGGCAGGAACGTGTCTATGCATATATAAGTAAAGTTTGCAGGAATATTTTACTATTCTATTCATAGTTAGAATGACAGATTGTTTATGCATGTGAATATTCCATTTATCAGATAGCTCACATTTGTTTCCGGAGGAGAATTTTCTCTCCCCGAGGTACAGATGTGCCAGATATATCAAACTGTGTGAACATGTTACAGGAGTGCTGGCAGATGGAGAAAGACTCATTCTAGGTGGAAGTTGGTTATATTTCCGGGCGGTGGAATTTTTCGAGCCAGAATGTACTAAAGAGATCAAGCCAGCACTAGGAGAGGGCCGGATTTGTCTGACTAATCTGAGAATGTTGTTACTGTGTGCCGAAACAGCGTCAGGTACATGTATATATCACTGTATTGTGTTTCATAGTTCATGACTTTTCGAAATCCACAAAGAAAATGTAGGTTCGAGGAGTACAGTCACTACATATAGTTAAAGCATTCAATGTCACACGAACTCAAAATTTCTCTGGTTGAATACAGAAGTACATTTGTATTTAAATAAGAAATTAATACTTCATTTTTATTGATTTACCTTTTAACAAATAATTGTCAAATTCCACTTCTATTATCTGAATTGTACAAACCTAAGGTGTTTGTAATACAATATTTATCATTATTTGTAATATATTGTCAAGAAACGTTCTTTTAATTTTAATGTTCGTGTTTTCTAAGACGCTAACATTGTGGAGTATGGTGATGAGAAGAAAGAAGGAGGAGGTTACAAACTGTCTGTGTCCAAGTTAAACAACGTCTTCTACCAAAACATTCCTATCGACTGTTTCGAGAGTGTAGAGTTAAGCTCTACTGTAGGGGTCGTGGCTGAGAGTAAACTTATAGAGAGAAAAGCAAGTTGTTGTGGCCTCTTCTCCTGTGTTGGGGTAAAATTTGTCATTTTATCATTATCATTTAACTATCCATCATAAAATATCTGGTTTATTTCTTGTTATTTACTATTTTACATTTCTGTTTTGCTTTTGTTTCTGTTTTTTTTAAAGATCTTTTTTTTTTAAAATAATAAATAGCAAAGGGTTGTGCTCAAGTTACTACAACAATATCGGTCAGCCTTCCTCTAAACTAAAACAAAACGTAACATGGGAATGTGATTAAAAGGAGTAAATGAGATGTTTTTGATAGCTTTCTCAATAGTTGCTACGAATACAAAATGTATTTTTCTACTTCTTCTTTGAGATACATGTATAGATATGTGTATAGGTAATAAAGTCATGTAATGTAGGGCTTATAATGTAAGATAAAACATAAATCAGGTAAATTAGTTAACAAATTTACTGCAGACAACCTGTCTTCGACATTTTTATATGCGAAATATGTGCAAAGGCGTTCAAAATGCATGATTGAAGATAACAATAAAAACCATTAACTGTGGAAACAAAACATAAACATGACTGATATTGGTAAAATGTGTTTTATAGTATTTGTTAGATCATGTTTTTACATGGTTATCATGTTTTATTCCAGGTTGGGCGTTGTGGAAATACATGGGAAGCAAGTCCACCGTTACCTATGAATGTAGTGAAGAGATTTGTCCGGCTTGGTGTATACTTACCGCCGTGGAGAACACCAGCAATAATGTTGGTACATCTTCACCCTAAAATGTCACTAACATCAGCACGTGATTTCGTTACCAAGCTACAGAATCACGTGCCACAGATGCAATACCACAACAAACATGGAGCGACCTTGTTATAAGGCGACATATTTTTGTGAAAAAGCCTTGTGACAAGGTTTTTAAAAAAATATTTTATTTCACATCGTAAATAGTTCATTATAAACCGACCCAATGTGTAAGAAATACAGAACACATCTCTATTCTTTATTTATTCAAAATATTATTATTACACGCATGGGATCAATAAATTTCAACATCTTAATAGTACTTCGATCACGTGTTCTATTAAGGTTTGTGTGGGTAGTTACAACACCATTTTGTACTATAAGATCATTTTCGTCGGTGTGAAGTTTGTGTGTACGTGTTGTTGCCTGCTGGTATGAACTTATTTTATTTTTGTATTGATAATAACAGACACATAGCTCATTCATTAACGCTTACTACATGGCAAGATGTCCAAAAAAATTGTCCATTTTAAGTGGATTAGGCTGACGGACTGTGCGCAGTTTCACTATTAACACTTTACATGTAAATAAAAACACTATAAAGGAAATTATTATAATTGTATATTATGTATGAAAACTTATTTATCTATGTAAATGAGTTTTTGGTGGGCAACTGTTTGTGCAATATACGTGGTGTTAACATTTATCTTATAAATAAAGTTCTGAAACTGTAATGGGTTATTATGTATCGCCTTCCCTGTCTAGAAATTACAGAGGTCAATACTTACCACTTACACTGATTCATACGCAAAAGTAATAATGTTACCAAGTTTTCTTACTATTAAATGTTTTAATATATACTTGTTCAACCAGTTTGTTATTTTTGAACATTCAAATTTATTGTATAGCATTTGATAAACAAAATGGTTATTGTGGCTAAAAATCGCTCACCTGAGATCTATTGCTAGAAAATGCCAAAGTTTCCAGTTTACAAGTAGGTGATTGGGTTACTTCAGGGCGGCACAATTCTTAGCACATTGGCCATTAACAAAAAACTAAATGTTTACTTTACAATGCTGTATACACATATAAACTCTGCAAATGTGGCTTCGGAGGAGAAGGATTTTAAAACTTTTATCTAAACGTCATTTTAGCTCACGTGACCTGCTTATGCATCAGACTGGACTCATTTATATAATCTTTGTAAGAGAACTCCCTTAGAATAATTCCTGTGAAGTTTGATCAACAAATTTACCAAGTGATATATTCGAACACGTTGTTTATTGGATAACGATGGGTTACGGACATTATGCTATATTTATGGCCAAATTCTGTATTCTTTGTGCATAGGTGAACTATAAATGAACATATTAAACATATTTTGGTTTTTTACCGTGGACATATCGGGAGAAAAGGTTCACCTGGTTGAAAAAACCCAACAACAACAACAACAAAACAACAACAGATGTTAGAGAAGAGCAGGTGATATAAATCACACACGTGTAAATCATTTACTTGCTGTGGCGAGAATAAACAATGCATCACATGCAGCAATAGCCATAGAGTTAGTGCTTAATTTATCATTTATAATACACATGAGTGGCGTATACCAACAATGAACAAATTACCTGTCTTTTACCTGGAGAAAAATAATATATACTCTTTATTTCATCTTTTCATAGATAATAATATATTTGACAAATATATACATGTGCAAAATGTAAACAATATCATTCTTCAATTACATAACAAGATGAACATGGTTGAGAAAGGTACGAAAATGCATTTAATATAATAACGTCCGATGTGAATATTATGCACGTTAAACATGTTTTATATGTCGTTTTGTATGGATGAGACTTTAATAAATATTATATATGATAATGTGGTTAAGGCATTCAACATTTCACAGAATGATCATGTTAACAATAGTTTCAATTACTAGTATCATTCAAACAATACTACAATATTCTAAGGACTTTATTATACTTTATTTAGGGAAAATTTCTAAGAATACTTTTACAAAACAAACCGTTTCACTCATATTTAGATTACATATGAACAATATAACAGCAATTATATAACGAGAAAACATCATCCAAGTATTTGATTTTTATTAAGAAATAAGAGTGTTATAACTGTACAATATTATACAAATATGGACTTTTTAGCTGTTGAATATGATGTGATATGTACTGAAAAAATTAATATTGACCGAGGCGATAGCCGAGGTCAATATTAATTTTTCAGTACATATCACATCATATTCAACAGCTAAAAAGTACATATCTGTTTTATTATATAATCTATAAATAGCTATTATATGGCTTATCACATCTGCCATTGCATACGACGGAAATCTGTTTCCATAATTTGGCCCTTTCCATTGGCATGCTAATCCCTATTTTTCTTAAAAATGAAAAATGGTAACTAAAATAGACTAATTTGACTCTCATGTACACTAAACTCAATGTTTCTTCAGAATAATAGCGACATTACTTGGCGTGACGTCATGTCAAAGTCTCGCGTCTTTTAGGGATTTCCAGAAAATCTATTTTTAGAAGAAAAACCAGTGAATATACTCTGAAAATCTATTTTTAGGGAAAAAAACAGTGAATATACTCTGATATTGACCTGTTATTTTTTACAAAAAGTTGCTTGTTAGCCAATCAGGGAAAGGCATTTCAAAGCTATTTATAGATTATATAATAAAATCAGATGTTTTATTGATAGACATAATAGGAAAATATCAAACATATAAAAATCACATTTAAAATAAGATTTGACAAAAACAACAACAGCTATTTATGACAGTTTTATATCATGGGAACATGCAATTCTACTAAGATTTCTGGGATATGTCTAGTTTTGTCATTTATGATATATATTTTCTATAAATGTTGCGATAACGGCCTTCCATATCTCCTCCAGTAGCACGAGAACAATTTCAGTTATTACACGTATATCTCCTCACGTGAACCAGCTTGCCAATTACTGGAAATATACAACAACTATTGTTTGCTTATTCACCCTAAGATAACACTCTAAAACAATAATAGCCTGTTTATAACATATTTATTCTAAGGTTAATACAATAAAACACTTCATTCATAGGGAAAACTTGAAATACCTCAACAGCTAGCTATACTTCAGACCTTGAAAATGAAATGAAACGTAATTACTTTTCCAGATTCCGATATTTAAAATGCTTTTTTCTTGCTTATTTTTTTTTAAACAAATTACAAGTGTAAGTTCATTATTGCAATTAACGAATTACATACAGGCTGTACCGTATCCGTGAGAAGTTTTTATTGTAATTTTATCAATTTTCAAATAGCAAGGACATTTCAGTGACCAGTACCACCACCACCACCATCACCATCATAATCATCACCACCACCGCCGTCAGCACCACAATAATCATAATCATCGTCAAATTCATGTCGTTTCTGTAGAACTCTATTATTAGCTCTTTAATGAATGGTTGGAAATGAGGCAAAACAAACACACCTGTGCCCCATCTGAACTATTTTGCTGTATACGTTGAGCGCTGTCGCATTAATGTGGTCGACCTGTTTATGCGTAAACGAAATCGACCACGTTTATGCGGCATCGCTGTTATGCGGCTGTCACGGGACTGGTGGTGTAGTGCGGCGACTGAAATAGCAAGGGACCTCAACCGTGGCAATGGATAAGCACAGGGCAGGGATATTTAACGTAGATTTTAGCGCCACGCCTGTTCCCGCATGGCTTGTCCTTTAACAAAGATATGCTTGGCTTCCTGCTATGCACTGGGATTTGAGCAGTGGTTATAAATGACTAGTACATACAAACATAATGAACGGCAGATGGATGTGATGAACCTCTGTCAATCATCCGAGTCCACTTGTAAAATTGTCCAAATTGATGTTGAGTTGAAATGTATTGAAACAAATAAATTTTCAAAAAATTTCGTTCGTTGCCACAGTAACCAGAAATATACACAGGAAGCCTAAACGTATATGAAACTCACAATCGCATAAAAAGCAGATGTGGGGCTGTAATGATTTTTCTGGAAATAATTGAAATGACGTTGCAACGGTAATGACGTGAAGTTTCATCTCATACGACGATTCATTTTCTGATTGGGACAAATGACTTAGTCGTGCGTTGACGTAACATAACCACCCGCTTTTTGTCGGGCCAAACATCATTTCAAACGTTTTTTAAGAAAGATCTATTGGCTTGATTCACATTTAAACCGATCTCACTTCATGATCTCAAGAGGTTCAAAACTTTGTCAGCTTCTAGATCCGATTATGATGAAATTTAATTGAAATAACTTATCACTATCGTAAACGTTTGAATTGGCTTTGTTTAGACGGCGTACATTGGCCTTTTGCGACATAAACTGGTCCTGTTTATACGTTAAAATCATCATATAAACAACATTAATTTATGTGGAGTCGCTGTGATACTGCATCACACATCTAATGTCATCTCTCACAGACACAGGGAAATGATATGGTCTTACAGTTTGGCTTTGAAAAAGAAACAATTCTGGTTAATGGTAGTTCAGGAGTCAAAAGTTTTGTGCGGAAAAATTCAACAACCACTATGTTATTAGGCTATTAACCGATATGGAGAAAGTAACAGCCTCCTCCACATCTTTTGGCAACTTCTTGAATGCCAAGAACAGATTCTCAAGTCATTATCCTTCCACAATCACATGGATAAGTCATGTGGTACGAAAACTTAACTGATACCGGTATTTTAGTTGGAAAAGGAACGTCAAGTTAGGATCTCTTGCATGCAGTTAAGGAAGATAGTCAGAACCAAGAATCTGTAAGTAAAAGATCAAATGCCATCTGCCTTCACTAAACCGCACAGGGGGCATAATTTTATAAAAAAAAATGCGGGACATTCTTGATGCTCAATTGAAACTACAGCTCTAATAGAAGATTCAAAGCAATGGCGATAAAAGTAAGATGGTGCGAACTTATTATTCAACATATGTCGGTAGGACAGCATGCTAGACTATTGTGCTTGATTAGTAAAACAAGAGCCTGGATGATGTAGATTTTTTTAAATTCAAAATTTTGTCAAAAGCCATGTTTGAGTAATAATGTGCCGTGGACAGTGACAAAATATAAATAAGTATAAAAACTCTCGTACGGGTTTATGTTTCCATACCCACTTTTATTCTTCTATATTGCAATAAAAATGCAAAATGTGATATTTAAATTACTTGCACAACTCATCATATCATATATAGTAGAACGACCGAACGATGTAAACGTTACCGTGTTCAACACATTTTTATAATAAATTGGAGGTAATTAGTTCTTTCCAAAATCTGTATTGCCAAGCGAGTTATCTACCTTTCATTGAGGCAAACGGGTTTATGACGAGTTTATCAAAGTACACAAATCATGGCCGGCTATAGTGAACACTTAAAACTTTTAACTGCCAAATGTTTGAGTGTTTATTGAGTTTTCTTGCAGTTTACTGATAAATTTTCATATGATAAACACAGGATAAATCTTTTAATTTAGTGCTAACTGGAAATCTTCAATTCTCAAGATATTCTCACAAAATCGCAGATCTCGAAATCAAGCACGAATACGGATCTAATAGGAGTAGCATACATTCCTAAGTCTTCTTACAGCCAAGCAAACAAGCAAGAAGCATGTTCAATAAGGTTACATGTTACATATATGCCTGTGTGCGTATATAGTGCAAAGCTATCCTTTGTACTTAAAAGGGTTTTATTTTTGAAACGTTAATTCTAACCTTCACATACAAACACTGGTAAACGTTAACAATGAAAACAAACATTTGTCGTTTTAACAATTCATTTTATTATCATAGTACCCAATGTTACAAAGATTGTCTCATCTAACATATCTTTTCCATACAATATACATATGTATCCCACTATATAAATGATAAACACATATAATGTATTTCAACTTGTAAGATAAAACATCTAGTCTCACCATAGATGCTACAAATTTCATCTTCCTTTTCTTACATAACTAACACTCCATCCCGTTACCCCTACATTTTTTGCCATTTGAAACAAAGATGGCTGACATTGTACATCAAATCTGTTAAGCAAACATGTTGATTTGTTCTTTAATGCAAATATGTGCTTGAATATAATCCATAGTGCATCACTGTATAACAATACATGTTGTGGAACTTGATTGTAATAAATCAATCACGTCCATCTCCATACTTCATGAACTTAATACTATATGATACAATATTACATCATAAAACACTATATTTTAATATTTCCCTAACTTATTGTATTATGATTTAATTCACATTATAACATAATATTTGTTGTAACTATTACATTGTCAATTTTGTGTAAAGGATTCACAAGAACAGTTGCCATTGGTAGTCTAATGGATTTCATTAATTTGAGCTGCCAACAATTGTAGACTATATGGATGTACATGTTGGCCTAGATTTATTCCAGTGATATAAAAGCTTGCATTAACACAGTACAAGGTGACACAGCCAAAGTTTCATCTCTGCACTAACTCTGGACAAGCTGGTATATCAGACAATCAACAATGTATGTAGGCTGAGATAGTGTGATAACTTTATACCAAACATCATCTACCATCATTTACAAGCAACATTAACCAGCTATCTATCGTCTCATAAAGTCAGTGACTAAAAGTGTCTCTCTATAATCATCAATTTTAAGGTTGCAGACTTAATTTATAAATCATACAAAATTCAAAACTGTTTCATGCAAATTCAAAACTGTTTCATGCAAAATTCAAACTATTTCATGAAAAATTCAAATTGTTTCATGGAAAATTCAAACTGTTTCAAAATTTTCCATGGAAAAGTTAGATGTGATATTTCATCACAACATGAAAACAATAAACTAGACAAAATTTATCTCTTTTTTTAATAAGTAAATACAAAAATTGCCATTTCATTAATCAATTCCTTCCCTGAATCATTATATTTTATCTATGTACTTAAAATAAAAACAAAATATAGATAACAACAGTCTCCTGTGACTATCTTAAACAACATACGAGCTGCGTCTCGACAAAACCAACATAGTGTGTTTGCGACCAGCATGGATCCAGACCAGCCTGCGCATCCGCGCAGTCTGATCAGGATCCATGCTGTTCGCTATCAGTTTCTCTACTTGTAATAGGCTTGGTTAGCGAACAGCATGGATCCTGATTAGACTGCGCAGATGCGCAGGCTGGTCTGGATCCACGCTGGATTGCAAACGCATTATGTTGGTTTTGTCGTGACGCGGCTCATATCTAAAGCAACACCAAATCATGTGATGGATAAGATTTAGTGATGTATCTAATAGCCTCCTTGTCTCAGAAAATAGACAAAATCTATGTTCCATAAAAGTACAAAATCAAAACAAATACAACAACTTATTATAATCGTGACTTGGTGGAAACAATAACAATGTAAACACATGACTATTGTGTCTTGGTGGAAATAGTAACAATGTATATAAATGCAATATTAGAATTGTGTTAAAGAAAACATATTCTTGGTCAGAAAATGAAGGTTTCAAATTAAATTAAATATGTATCAACAATGTTTCCCTAGTTCACTTAATTATTACAAAATTATCTCATGCAGTAAATCATTATCTTATTAAATCAAATAATTGTTATTTTGCAAATATGCAGAGAAATATATCTTACTGGTAATACTTCCTCTATCATTAAATCTTGACCTTTAAAATTACACCAGGGTCCAGCCGAGATTCGAGATAGAACTCTAGAAAAAGTTTAATAACCTCAAGGCTAGGCGAATATTTGACTTTTTAAATTGAAGTTTTGAAGTTTAAAACGTCCAAAATATTTTGGACGAAGTTAACTTAGACAGACTAGCAAGTTTTCTCTAGAGAATGAATTTACATTAAATGCTTTATTCTATGGAAAGAACATCGTCATTAAACAAGCAAAAGTAAATTATTCAGCTTGCAGTAAATACATTTGGGATTAAAATAATTTTTTATAACATTTTCAGAAAAGGTCAATCTTGAGTTGAGAACCTAAACTTCCTAAAGGCTAAGAATAACCATTTCTGATGAAGATATATGCAAATGATTAAACAAGGTATTTAATCACAACTAGCAGAAGATTATCTGACTGAATTAACAGATTTCGTGAACTTTAAAGAGAACACATTTTTAATACAACATTCAAAATTGAAACACATTCACTACTTATCAAATTTCAAATTGCATGTGAATATATTTCTTTGACAACATCACAGAACAGACAGAACACTTTTCATTAACTATCATGTTAACTTGAAGCACACTTTTTAAGATAACCTTGGGAATGATAAACTCTAGATGAACAAATCACAGACTTGTGTCATTAAATGACTAGAAAATACTGTTGATGTGAATGGATAGGCAGCAAAATTACGTTTTCTTCAATAGCAACATATGCTTTTCTAATACGACTTGTGAACAATCTGGAAAATAGTATTCGACTTATTAATAATTTAGTTTTTCGTATTGACTGAGAAAACTGCTTTAATCATTTAAATTAGCTTAATCTCATAGTGAAAAAATATTTCAACAAATGTGCTATTATTAATAGGTATTACACTGATCAAATGATAATCTCCATAACAAACAACATACTGATAAAAAAGGCCGAAAAGGAAGATATTTTCCTTTATCATTTCAGCCATATGTTGAAGCCATTGAATCGGATATCTTCATAAACATGTTAAATGGTTTGAAACCATTGCCAAGAGATTAAAAAAAAGTCCACAAAATACAAATATCATAAATGCAGACATGTAAGTATACAGTTCTCATATAATCATGATATTCTTAGAACATACCCAGTGACATCAATAATTTCATTGTTTTTTTTATATATATATATAATTATTATATATACATGTATCATTGTATGTGTAAGTTTTCTGTTAGTAAAAAATACATGATGAAATAATTCGTGCCATATACAAACACTTATATACAAGTTACAAATGTACAAAATATGGTACACTTATTTTTTTTTTGTATTTTTTTACAGAAATCAAGTCAGAACATATGAACAATTTCAAACTAAATATCACAAAAGCTCACAAGAAAACAAATAATTTTACTCATATAGTTCCTGTTCAAAATATGTACTTAAAAATATAACCAAGTACCGAGAAAAACACACCAAAAAAAAACCCCTTTCTTTCACCAGGAATATCAAAGTTTTATGTTTAAATGATTAGACATAGAGAAAAAAGTTGATAGTCCCTCGAGCACAAAGTTAAACTATTGACGTATCTTTTTTTCATATAATTTTGTCCTATTTAATAATTATGTCAACTTGTAAACAAAAATAGATCCATGAAAAAAATCAAACGTTAAAAAACGCAGAAACAATCAAGGTAAATATTCCAGAACTAAAGAGCTGATCATTGACAAACAAAAACATAACTACCAATTTCTTAATTAGACTTCACTCAAAATGTACACATAAATTCTACTTTAGAAGTGTTCTTATTTCTAATGTTATTTACAATTCCTTTTCAAAAGATATAAGTAAATTACAAACCACTTGTGTCAGCATTTGAATAATACATAAAACCAACAGAACTTCACATCAACATGAACAACAACATTAATCAATATCAAGATCAAACATAACATTATTGGAGAAGTTGAAGGCACACTGAGTTCTGTGCTCATTAAAGGGAGACGACTTGTTCCCTTCATTCCAACTCAGCTCTGTTTCCACAATATTCTCTATTTCTGCTTTCTTATCTTCTTTTTCTTCTGCTTTATTTCCTTTCACATCATCCTTGAACTTCACTCCCTTCTGACTTCCCTTACCTGATTTGTTTCCCTTGATTGCACCTTTTGTATCACCTTTATTTATTGTCTCCCCTGAGTTATCATTAGCTGCCATGATTGGAGTTTTGCCATTTCCTGCCATACTGAGATCACTTTCTTCAACTTTCTTATTCTCAATTTTACCACTAGTCAAATTTACTTTTTTCTGCTCATTTTCATCTTTAGTGATCACATTTTTTGCACCATTCTCACTAGTTCTTTCTACTTCACTATCATCTACAACATCATCATCATCACTGTCATTATCCCCTGCACCAACTTTCATTTTCTCCATATTACTTTTCACTTCAGCTGCAAACTTGCTAGATTTATTCTCAGATTCAGAATGTATCTGATACCCAGGGGTTTTACTGACATCACTTTCAGCTTTACTTTCCTCTGTTTCATGTTTTTCATCAACATCTTCTTGGTCCTCAATAATTACACCATAATCTTCCACCTTCTTCCCTGCAATTATCAAACCAAATCATAATTTTAAAGAGGATACAAAGTGTATTTTCACATGGAAAGACAGGATATGCAAAGTCACAAATTTAAGATTTTTTCATCATATAACCCTCTCGAAATTCCAATTTCATTGGGAAGAAGTTCTTGACCACTTTATTGTTTATTGTCAGTGAAATATGCAGTTAAAAATAAGCCAATAAAATAGCACCCCTTGTGTATTTCAATATATTCATTCAACTTTGGCTATGGAATGATTTACTTGATGCTATAATCTTCAATATAACTATCGTTTCATGTAAATCATCAATGAAATAAATCAGTTTAAAAATAACATTAATTTTTGACGTCTTAGTTTGTGATCTCACAACATTGGCAATGCTAAATGTACATGTAACAATGTATGCCAAAAACTGTGAATTGTTTTAGCTTCAATTATTATTTTTCAATTTTGTGTTAGTAAATGATGGTTTAGACTAGATTTAACATTACAACAATCCCTGTGGATTTAATTAGACCAGGGTTATAGATAACATATCCCTGATTGTACAGACAACAACCTGAAAAATGCCTGGAATTCCACCAATGTCCGTGAGATTAATATTTGACCTGGAATGCTTTAAATTTGATTACTGCAAGGCTAGTTTTTTGTCCTGATGTGACATCGTTATTGTTGATATAAAGATCTCTACAGGCAATGGGGTATGTGATAGAAATTAGAATTAGAAATGAGTTGTGTCACGACAAAACCCAACATAATGTGTTTTCAAGTAAGAAACTGATAGCGAACAGCATTGATCCTAATCAGACTGGGTGGATGTGCAGGCTGGTCTGGATCCATACTGGTCGCAAACGCACTATGTTGGTTTTATTGTGACGAGGCTCAAATTATCTGATTATAGTCAGTGTTATAACCCAATAACCCATGGCCCAACATGCTTTTTATTTCGTTGACAGTTAAGTACAAATATATAAATAAATTTTATCAGCGTCATTTGCATCGTTATTTTCCTAGTGTGATATTGCTTCTATTACATAGGTTCATTACATTCCTTCACTGTGATTTATGTGATAAATTATCTCTAATTATTGTAGAGAGTATAACACAGTAGATATGTAGATATTCATGTTAGCTAGGCTAGCAATGTCAGGATAAACTGCACAAACACTTTATCTTATTTGCATAGATCCCTGAACTATCATTCTTATTATCAGATACAATAACAATTAACAAAAGTGCACATGTCAATGGTTGTGGTTAAATCTGTTATTATTCAAATAAAAGGTTAGAGTAGGGATCTATCAATTCCAAAATGATACATGACATATTACTAACCAGTGTCATGCAACTGTTGGGCTAAATCCTCTGTTTCTGGGTCTTCTTCACTGTGAGACTCGGAACTATGCCTTGCATCGTGCTCATCACAACTGCTACACTCTGAGCCATTGCTGTTATGTCGTCTTCTACCTTCACGTTCCCTCTTCCTCTCTTCTCTCTTACGGTTCCTCTTTCTTTTACTTTTCAATGCTTGTTTCATACTTGTCACTGTGGCGTTTGTTTTGAATGTTGTTTGGTCTATGTGACTGTTAAATGTCACTGATCGTCTGCCGGAGCTCCCATCACTATCTCTGGGGCTGCAAGCTGTTGGGCTATCACTGCAATTTATAAACATTATATTTATATTTGTAATTAATGGATTCTGAACAGGTGAACTATATCTAATATATGCAACAGACACTGTATTGTCGTAATGGTGGATCTTTAACATTACTAGTGAAGGATACCTCTGCCCCCTACTAGGCCAGCATCCCTACAAAACTTAAGATAAAAGTAGCATCCTAGTAGAACAATCAACCTTCTGTATGTTAGCCAGCTAACTTACATCTGCAAATGCTGGCTACAAGAATATATTAAGATATGATGACAGTTGTTTTTTACAGTTTTTTAGTTCTAGAAACTATTCCTGATCTGGTGTTGTTTTTTCTTATTTTTTCTTCTTCAGTAATTAAAGATATCAAAATTATCATTTTTGTTTGTTTTTGTTTTACGGCTCACCCACACAATTTAGGAAATATTCATGTGATACAGCTTTGTTAGTTAGTGACTGTACAAGGCATTATCTTCAACTGTTTTTTTTTAAATTTCAAACCAGAAATTTCACTATCATCCTTTGACCATTACACAGATAAATTTTAGCAATAATAATGGCTACATTCAATACATTTCCCAAAATGGTTGCTCTAAAGTTTTATTTAACATCATGTTTTATATAATTCAGTGGTGGTAAATCAATTGTCCATATTGCCAAGGTTTTCCAATAGCCTGTACAGACAAGTGGAAATTTGTAATAATTTACTACATAAATATACAAACAAGTTGAGAAATGCTTCAGATAAAAACGGACAAGTAAGTCAATATCAGATTTTGCCAGCCCTGTAAATGAATGTCATACCTTGACAAACTAAGATGATCTTCACTAGATTCTGATATAGAACGTTGTTTAAGGATACCATGTAGACTTGGAGGTTTATAGGAATGTACCACCTCAATACCAGCTGACAGGGGCGAGTCTTCACCATCATATGCATCCTCCTCCTCCTCACTGAAACTCACAGTCGGCTTCTGTAAACAATTTATTAAAATGCTTATATAATATGAAAACAACACTTAAAAGGTAAAAGGGACTCTACTGAGGTTTCTTTGACATTATAGTCTGGAAATATTTTTCCGTGATTTATGTACCATTTAGTGTAAGTGTGAACCTGTGAACTTGTGTGCAAATTTTCAGATCATCCCTCTGTTGTTTTTTCCAGAATGTACAAAATGACCCCAAAATGAAAAGCATTGCAATCCTTTTTACTCAAATTTAGCTATGAATCACACAAAAAACCACATTCATATAAATACTAAGTGTACATCATAAATTTCCTTTTTTTATTGCTTCCCTTGATCTATGTAGTGTAAGAAGTTCAAATCTTGTGTTAAGGCTTTTGGACCTCAGAGGACCTTTAAATAATCCTCCAAGAGTAATAGAATCTCAGTTTAACAGCAAGTTTTCTATTTATAATTGAAAAATATTTTGCTTCTTAATATTGAAAAATTCACCATTAATGTACATGTATCTCCTACACCTTGTGCACCTATTTTATGAGCACACATAAGTAACATTTACATAATAATATATAAAATATATTGGTAAGATGAGATATTGAAATGTTGTAAGAGATATGTGAATAACTTACCCTGATATTTAATGTCAGTCTTTTTTCATTCATTTCAACAACCTTGATGTTTGCAGCATGTTGCTCGGGGGCATGTTCGTCTGTCTGTCCCATGTTTTCTCCCTCCTGTTGTAACTGATCAAGCTCCTCTTGCAGATTGTCAGATGTCACAAATACCTTCTCCTGAAGTCACATGACATTCAGTATTACTCATATATCAATACAGTTATATAAACTTAACAACAAAGCTATAAGTTTAAGGATCTAGCAACATCTGTATTTATTGGGAACAGCTGCTAGCTGTGACCTAAAATCATCTTACAGCTTCGTGAGAAAATTGTTTTTCTTGCATCAGAAAATGCTAGTTGCAGCACATGGTTATGCCTGTAATTATTTCACATTTTATTTCTTTTGCATTTTACTCAATAATTCCTTTTTTTCAACTATATTTGCCATAAATACAAGTTCAACTTACATTATTTTCAAAAAAAGTGAGATATTTTGGAAAACTGCAAAATGAAACTACACATGTACAACAAGAAAAATCCAGCTAAATCCGGTGATAAGATACAGCCCTAATATCTTACAAATGTTATGTACAATCTTTACTCATACCTATTAACTTCCAGATTAGATAAGTTGTAGCAAAAATAATATCTTATCCACAATTTCACTGCAAAAGTTCAAAATATTTCACCTTTGCACAAAGCGTCTATAAACATAAAGTGATGTGTATATTTTGCAATATAAACTTGAGCTTCTGGGTTTACTGCACTGAGATTAACATCCAATGAAAGAGATAAGAGTGGAAAACCTGCCAACCGTAAACAACAAATATCAAGGTCAGAGATCAGTTTGACCCACTAAGTCCTTGCAATGTAAGTAAACAATATTACAAGGTCAAATAAAACTACTGACCAAACAAACCACAATTAACTGACCAGTTGAATTAATCTATATTTAAAACAGCTGACAAGATCAAATGTAAACACTAGTTGCTCACTTATTTCGTAAGAAATATTGTTAGGTTTATTTTCCTTGTTCAATAAACCTTCTAGATTGTTCTCTTACAACTGATGCAGAAATAATGACACGTAATGTTAGCTGATAGTGTATTATAGTGTATGATGACATAAATGAATGTAATCTATACTTAAGATCTTCCGCATTGTGAGAGGATATCCTTTCATTTCACAGGACTTCTCTTGTTAAACTTATGCAAAATTTTAAAATAATTGTTTCCCAAATATACAAATATAAATGCATGTGTCCAAAACCAATCAACTTTCAAATACTCATCATACATTAAACATTTTTTCAGTACCACAAAATATCAAAAATATATTAATACAGGAAATGGAAGAGAGAAAATTGTAGTTGTCAGAGTAGGACATATTGAGGCTAATGTGTTATCAGGAACACTTCAGACATATTGATTATACTTTTTCTCTCTCCTCTTCTACTAGATATACCTGATACTAGGTCACTTTAGTTGCTAGCTTCAGATTTATGACAAGTTCAGATACTGTATCTGTATTTGCACGACCTTCCATCAAATTGACTCAAAATTGTATTGAGCTGATCAATAACTGCTTCATAAAAATAAACATTGCTTCAAATTTAGGTACTGTGATGCATTTTCTAATCTGACAACAGTGAACTGCATTTTCTTTTATGTTTTTCAACAAAATGAAATTTTAAATAATGTAGAATCTATCTTATAAAGATGCTCTTAATTCTTAAACAAAGATCTGATAATTTTGTACCAAAATGAAAGGAATGTAGACAAGCAGATACACCATAATTATATGATGTATAATAATCAAAAATGCATATCAATTTACATCAACTTTGCAGAATGGTTTTCCATTATTTCCATTTCCATTACATTAAATGTTTAAAATCATTGGAATTAATGAGACAATTCAACAATTTATTAACCATTTAACCTATAACACATAGCAAGTCATAATTATACTCAATGATCTACAGTACACCAACTGTTAGTACAGACCAGATTTTCTGCTTGGAAAGGTACTGTTTATGGCAACAAGAGACTTGAACAGTTTTTGCCAGAATCTGAGTCTGCAGACTCAGCTATTCTCATCTTTAATAGCACATGATTGTGCACAAACCTGACATACAGGAAAACTACTAAACTATGCCAGTTGAAATAGAAGTCAGCCTGCACCTCTTTGTTACTCTCCTTAGTTGCAATACAAAGATATATGAGCCGTGTCATGACAAAACCAACATAATGGGTTTGCGATCAGCATGGATCCAGACCAGCCTGCGCATCCGCGCAGTCTGGTCTGGATCCATGCTGGTCGCAAACGCACTATGTTGGTTTTGTCGTGATGCGGCTCATATGTTCTGACAGTTCTGTTTTATTACACATGTAGCTAAAACAAGACAATAATCCACAAAATACAATGTTTAATGAGGACCATAAATCTGTTATAAGTGTAACTATGTTAACAAATGAACTCACAACTGAATTCCATAAGTACCAAGGTAATGTATTTCTACAATATGTTATATATATTCTCAGTCAATCACATTGGCACAAACACATTTATACTGGAAACTTTATGGGGTTTAGCCTATAATTATATAGTGTTTAACCCAGGCAAACTGTAAACATTTCTTTTAAATTCAGTATAATTACTTTCATATATAAACTTACCCAGACTTTCATAAACAGTATCCAAATATTCCAGGTAATCCACATAAATACTCTGACAGGTAACAATAACTTAATAACATCCAAACGTTCACCTGATTTTCTATGTTTAGTCTCGCTCATATTGAAGTTTTAACTATCCTATAATCATCATTACCTAGCCCAGAACATTAATTAACACAACAACCTATTTCCAAGTCAAACTAAACATCTCCATTTTTATCACATTAATATCATCTCAATGCATCACAACTGCAAATTTCATTCAGCAACATTATTATTTTCATTTCAAAGTGCAGAAATTAAGAAACAAGGTTTACATTGCCAAAGATTGCATATTTGATTAAATGGAGATGTACAAACACGATATAAGTACATAAATGAAGTGAGTCAATCATACCAGAGTTACTAGTACTATCTCTTTACACTGTTGCTTCCCCAGAAAATTGTTACCTACCACTTTAATATACAAGCTACAGTAAATGTCAAACTTGATACATAGTGAACTGATAGTTGCTATTCATTTTTCTATCTATAGCCTATATTCCTGGTAATAGGTTTACTATAGAAACACATTGCTAACTTGTCACCATGGTACCAGTATTCTCTTATAGAAAATTCTGCACAATATTGTAAAATACTTGTAATAATTTACCACAGTGATATCCTATACAATATTTCCAGCAATATATATGTATATGTCAAAAAGAATCCTTATAATTAGCAGTTATAGTCATGTACAATGTTCACAAACAATTATACATATGCTATTGATTTTTTAACCATGTTGACTGAAATGAAACTGGGAGTGTCAACAGGTATCTTCACATAAGTCAATTTTTAAAGAAATGTCAGTATGTAATACAGAGCTCCTTTTTTTCTTAACATGCCTAACAACGACTCCTCATAAACAACAACAAAATATATATCTGGACTCCAAAAATCAAGTTCAACACTTTTTCCCCCAAAAGCAATCACAATATTCTCTTTATTTCTTCAGAAATTAAAATTTACAATTGCAATTAATTTCCTTTTACTTTAATATAATAACAATATTGTATGATAATTATTCAAAGAATCCAGTGCAATACTCCAAAAATACATTAATGTGTTTATTATTTTACTTCCATTTTATTTTAGGAATACCATAGGTTACAATGATCTTGGTCCTTAAAATAGTTGTATGCAGTACTTTCCTTATTATATATCTACAGTATTTTATGTTTAAGCTTGTTTAAGTAAATATCAATGTACAAAACTACTTAAAATGTATTTAACTTTAACCTATATATAGGAAATATACTTGTCTAAATCTCATTTGTTCATTGATTTTATTACCAATATGTAGACACACCACGGGCTATATATATTTAACTTTATTGAACAGTATTTATATATACACTACCGTACATATAGAGCTTTATATATACTTGAAAATAATGATTTAAATTCTTCTTTTTTTCAAATGAACATGACTGCAGCAAATACTTTATACATGTAACTATAAATATATGGGTGTTAAAGAACATTTTGTTTGTTTCATTTTACGCCTTTTTCCAACAGTATTTCAGTCATATAGGCGGGTAGTTTCCTAACCATTGTTCCTAGAGAGTTACACCAGTACTAGACTACCTTCCTCCGCGCTTAACTACCAAAGCATCTCCCGGGGATCAAACCCACTGTTAGAGAACATATAATTGACACAAAGATTATTAGATAACAAGTAGAATTTTAACATGAACAATTATCTAAATATAAATGATTTCCAATGTAAGCAAATTCTACCAATATTTTTTTGGTCATAATTAAAACAAACTGTGAGGGAAATATGAAATGTTTAAAGCAGTGAGATACTAAAACACTTTCATGAATTTTGGGGGCCATTTTTAACAATTATTATGGCAAATTTCAAAATAAAGCATTTGAAGAAAGGCTATACAAAAGATTTTTTTCTTCATATACTGAATGTTTTCAAGAAACTTTGCATTTCAGCTCTTTTCTAACCAAAGTAGTCCTCTGTCATACATCATGTTGTTTTAAAATGCACCCAGGAACATGATTTAATCAAACCATAACAGTCAGACCACTAAATGATGCTAAATGGTCAGACCAATTAAATGTCATTAATAATCAAACTGTAATGCTCCATAACTCTGTAATGCATGACAGGATCAGGTCATTTTGTCACAGGAGCCAAGACTATCAGACTAGAGCTGTCAGGAGTGACAAATAACTACCACCACCTCCATGATACATGATTTTATGAAGGTCCATTGAACAGGGAACAATCCCCCAAATTTAAAGAATATAGAATTTATAGAGCGGAGACACATTTGTCTGGCATTTGACCTTCAGGGGGGACATCAAACTTGAGCCAGCACAACTTACAATTTAGCAAGAAATGAAAGACAACTCCTACTTAATCTGTCATAAAATCCTGCCAAATTACTTCCCTTTTATATATATGGGGAAAAATGTTTTTTTTATTTATCTTTGTTGACTTTTATTTGATTTAAAAAAGAAACACAGACTTTTTCTTAATAACATTAATATAATGATAAATTTCCTTGCTATTTATGTAATGGTTGTTATGTAAACATATGAGTTTTTGTGATTTATGAACAAATGATTTTTTTGTCTTCATAACTTTGCTAGATAGTTCATGACTTTTCACTGTTGATTACAACTAATATTTAAAGCATGATTGACCTTTTTTCCAGATAAAAATCCACTTCTTATAATTTAAGATCTAACTATACAGATTTAGCTAAGTGCTGTAATGGCAAGAATATTTTCAGTATCAGTAGTCGGCCATTTTGTGACTGCTAGGTAGCAACCACATTGAAAATAAATTGGTGTGAACAAGACATGGCAAAGTGCATGCACCTGCACTGACTTCCTCCATATTGAAATAATGAAAAGGCATAAAGTGAAAGTCTGTTAGTGTGCATAGTGTCTGGTAATTGCCTTGTCAAGGTGAACAAATTTTGAGGTTGGTTTGAAGAGAATCCAAGGGGTAAAACAATTATAGAGAAACTGACTGACAGAGTCTACTGTGTTTTTGTCAATTTTCCAGTCCTCCTGATAATTCTTAGTGTTTAAATGATGATTGATCTATAGCAAAGGAAAGGACAACAGGAATTATTTAGTGCAAGTCCTTATTAAAGTTATCAGACTTGGTGCATGACCTGAAAACTACTGACAAGTCATTATGCTCTAGCCAAAGCAAGTTAAGTAGAATGAAACTGCAAATTTTTTACAAGTTTTTTAAAACTTTACACACACTTAACACAGACACCAGGGTAGGTAATATAGCCCTACTATTCTTAACACTGTGAAGATAAAAATCAATTGACTAATGTCCACATGTTCAACTGTTTAAGTGCTAGTTCTGATCAGTAGCATCTGACAAAACAATGGCAGTGGTTTTGTTAAACCATGAACTAATTAACAAAGATCAATTAATATTATGTTGCACTAGAATTTACATTTCTTAAGCAGAATGGTTCAATGAAACACACTAGAGTGAACTACCAGTCATCCAAATTCCCACAAGTCATAATCTACCTTAATTGTATGTCTTTTCATTAAGTTTTTTTTCCCTATTATTAGCACCATCCGGTTTAAATTATTGTTTCCCACAGTTAAAACACCAATTATAAAAATTTGCACTAGCCCCACATTTAAGCAAGTTATTCACAACTTATTGAATTCTCATACTGAAAATGGGTAAGAGCAGTGGTTTAATCACAATTATCCTCACTATTTTTCTTATCTATCCAAACCAGAACAAATGCTATGTGTAAATATCAGTGATTTTTTTTGCAATTTTCAAAACAACCTGTGGCCTTGTGAAGGGGAAAATATAGCGTGATAAATCAGAAAAGGGGAAATCAAATACCAACAACTGAGAATGGAATTTACCCAACATTTTATAAAATTTTCAATTTCATTTCAATTTAATATATATGGTACATACCAGAGGCTATCTATAGGAACAGCTTTATCTGCTAGGTGATATTTAAGTCAGATGCTGTTAAGTCGTGGTTCTGGTGAAGAATGTGCACAGGGCATTTTAGGGGAAAATATTTGCATTTTTAGGGGAAAATATACCTTTTTTGGGCTAGGGGAAACAGCCTTTATTCGGCTGTAAAATACATGAAAAAAAATCACTGAATATATATGACAAAATGAATTTCCTTAACTTAAGAATAGATTTGGCCAGTAATTCACTGTACATAAGAAAATGAACTGTGTAGTTTGTAAGAGTTTGAAAGTCAGCATATGATCAGATTATACAAGTGTGTACCCCCAAAATTGGACAGAAACATTGAAATACAATTTATGCCATTTGAAATGTGTGATAACTATAATACCTCACAATATTGTAGGTTTAAAAAGTGGTAAAGCCGAAACACAAACAATCCTAATTAATGCCATACCAGGGCTCATCCGGAAGGGCGATTCAGGCGAAAACTTCGCCGTGTATATTCCAATTTCGCTCTTCCGATTGATCAAAGAGAAGTCAATATCGCCGATAAAATCTTAATTCCCAAATAGTAATTACTTAGCTATGTAAAGAGAAGAGGTTGTATCCGCCCATATGACGACCGCTAATTATCATTATCCAATCAGAGCGTCGCTTTATACTACCCTTCTACCTGTAAGCGAAGCGATAGACCGCCTACTCTAAACAGTAAATAATGAGAGCATCGGCCCGAAACGGTATAATTGTGTGATAGTTTTGCGAGATGAATACGGGATTTTGCAATAATTATACATTGTTTTTTCCCCGATTATCTAAACACGTGCTATCACAAAACTGTTAAGTCAATTAAAAATAATCAATTTCATAATGATCAGCGACCGGATTAAAAACTTAATCTTAGTTTTGAATGATTTCAGTCTGTTAACATCAATTTTAACTAGGGTTTCTTAATCGGACAAAAATCATAATCGATCATCGAAAATAATCGAACAACCCTTTTTGATCAATCATCGATTATATAATCGAAACATTTATGATAACAAAGTAAAAAAGTATAATGTACATATCATGCTTTAATATTTATAAGAATTCCATTTCCATGTGACCACCACTTTATCAACTGAAATAAATCAGTTTTAAGATAAACTATGCTCATCCTTGAGTAAAATATTTAAATGAAATAAATTCATTAAAATCTATGAAATTATTATATCTCACTTTCTATAAAGGAATGAATAAACTATGTATGGGAACAAGTTAAGTTGGTCGATCTGTTCTTAACAAAACTGCCAGTTTTTTTTTTAATGACACTATATATTGATATTGTAGTGTGTAGAATAATTTTATACATAACATATCTTCTTTGTGTGAAGTCAAAACATGTTTCTTTTATATCTACAAATAGACGGTATAGCAATTTTAAATATTTCTAATGTCAAATTTGAGCATAGTATACCTTTAAACTAGCATGCCTGATGTCAACTATTAACTCAATGGTCACCAGTATGCCTTCATATTCAATTGAATGAAAATTAATGTTTCAAAGAAAACAGGCTTTAATTTAGAGTGTTGTTATAATACAGTTAGTCACTTAAGTAACAGCGAGAAAATAAATTACCGATGATCGATTATTAAACTTTGTAATCGATCATCGCTAATCGGTTCTATAACCGATCAATTTTCGATTATACTCGATCATCGTTTAATCCCTAATTTTAACTGTAAATTTGTTACGTCGCTCACGTCATGGCTACAAGGCGAAACCGAGCTGTAAGAAAGTTACTGATTCTGATAGTTACAGTACACCTATGCGAAAATTTAAGAAAGCCAATTCGCAAAAATCTTGCGATTGGTATGTTGTAGACAGTGGAGCTGTTTGGCATTGTTCTCTTTGTAGAAATGCCAAATTTGACACAGTTTAGCCCGTGGGCAAGACATCCTGGCTGAACTACATATCTACATATCGGTCGTATATCATGTAACGTGTATATAACAACAAAATTTGTCAGGAAAGAAGTGTTCTTATTGTTTTAATATATATATATATTTGTTTTAATGTCGTAAATATGACGCTCAGATTAAGATTTATCAATATTGTAAATTTTAAAAAGCATTATTTATAAAGGTATTACCGAATTTAACATTTCATGAAAATAAAGGGACGTAATTAGAAATTAATTTTCTACAATTTCTCAGTCAAATTTTTCAATAAGAAATGAATGTATGTAATTTTAGTGATCAAATAGAATGTGCACAAATGTTTGCAGTACATATTTTACATATTCTTTGATGTTTGAAAATTGTTTTATAAGCATAATTATATGCATATAAATCTGACATTACAACATACAACACTTTGAAAGAAATTTCTGTTACCAGAACAGAATTGAACAGATATTATTAATCAATATCCAATGTGACTTCATCTTCTTTGAAAGGTGAGGAAAGTAAAGTAGAAAATATGAAATTGATTTTATCATCATATCTTTTCTTACACAATATTATCAACAAATGTACATGAAAATATATAAACACATATTTAGAGAAAGCTTATAAATAGCTGATCAATAGATATCAAAAATAATTTTTTTATATTCATATTTGCAGCTCAAAAACATTTAGATGCCATTGCCAGATCTACTACTAAATAATTAATCTACTTTTAATTAGTACTACTATTAATTAATAAACTGGAGAAATATTATAAGTGATGTTAATTGTGTTTATATTATAATTAAAGGATGTATAGCCATGCATGTTAATGCATACACATTGGGTTGTTTCCCTTCTCCCTAATTTTCGCGAGGTCGTCACTTCTCCCTAAAATTTCCCCCCAGGATGAGCCCTGCATACATGTCAATTTTGTATTTTGTATGACTTATACTGCTATAAATACATACCTCCATGTTTTCTTCATCTGCACCAGCAAAAAACTTGTTCCACATAGTTCTGCTATCCTTCTGCTTCAGCAAAGTGAAGGTTAAATTTCTGTCTGAAATGTCCACTGTACAGTGCTCTGCTACAAGCTTGCAATCTTCACCAAAAGAACTAAGGAACCGGTAATGCATGGGGAATCCTCCAGAGCCTATTGATACAAACTTAATCTCACAACTGCCTGGACATGGAAATGACTTGCAGACAGAATCATCACTGATGTTTCGTACATGAAACACAAATGTTATAGTCTCTTGGTCTTGATTAAAGTCATATTCAGGCAAGTTATAGGATATCTTGGTCTTGTTGGCTTCCATAGATGATTCTGACAACTTGTTATCCATACATTCGGATTCCAAGATAATTTCTTCTAATATAGGCAAATCATCTGCCACATCATCTGCAGAGTTGTTAACTTCTTCCAAAGGGGGCAATTCTTCAATGAGTGATGGAATATCAGTTTCATTCTTTGAATCTAGAAAGGACGGTATTTCAGGGATTTCTCCTGCTAAAACTGGCAGAGTTATTACCAATGACTTCTTGCTTTTATCAAATCTTGCAGAACCATTTTCATCGTCCACTGGATATGGCAGCTTGAAATCAAGTTTGTAAGCTGGTTTTTCACTTTTCAAAGAAAGTTTATCTTCAAAAATATCCAAATCAACCCCTGCTGCCGATTTACACAAAGGTAACTCAATGTTAACTATCAGTTCCTTTGGTCTTGTAGTTGGTCTTGAATCAGGCGCATTTCTAAATTCTTGCAAATCAAGATTAGAACGATGAGTAATTGTGTAACTCGGAGTAGTATAGCCATTTTCTTCCTTTATCAAATTGTTTGATTTTGTTTTGCTCTCTTTTGATGCCTTTTTATCAGCTTGTTTGTTCTTTTCTTCAGCTAATTCAGAACTTGTTTTATCAGGATATGGATAAGGCATAGAAGATAACGGATCAGTTTCATCTTTTTTGGCCTTGTTTTTATCAACATCCTCTTTCCTATTTCTTATCACAGTTGCCACAGGTTTGCCCTTGCACTTCATCTTAGGACGGCGGATATTGTTGCGGTCCAGTTTTACATCAAACTGACGTTCTATTCCTTCAACAGCTGTATCCTCTACAAGTTTTAAGAAATGGGGATTCGATGTCATGCGATATGTATCTGGATGGAATACAACATCGTAAACCATGCAAGTCTCTTTCGACTTGTCAAAATCTTCCCTGGGTGGTGCAAAAGAGTGAGGGATTTGCCAATGTAAACCTCTTTTTCCTTCCTTATTTTGTTCCTTTCTTGACGTTGGTTTACCCATCTTGTCACTTGTGCAAATGTTAATGAAAGCTTTCTTGCCGCCGGTAACTGCCGTTTTCAAGACATGACCCGGTTCTGGGTTAACAAACTGAACGTCCATACCTCGTTCATTTTCCAACATTGCAATCTCTTCTTCGTATATTCTGCGGTTTTCCGGATTGGAAATCTCCTCTGCATACTCAATAAACATTTTTCGGAACTTTTCATCTTTCAACGCTGTCTCTATTCTCTTAATTTCTTCGCGAGAGAGATCTAAATCTTCGAATGTTTTCGACGACGCCATGCTTGTTTGTTGTTTGTACTTGTTGCTACGAGCATGCGCACAAAGTGCGTTATATTGCAAGGGGAGATTACTTTGTAATCTAGAATTTTCTTCATATGGCTTTAAGGTACTAAATGCCTTAACGATTTATTAACGATTCATTTAGAGAAGCCTACAGTAAGATTTAGCAGAAAACATGCAATAAGCTGACGAATGAAGATAAAGTGACAAGTATAGTACATATTGTAGGGGGTTAACAGCTTAAATTAATATAATAAATAAATAGCATAAAGGGGATATGACATGTTTTTATTGAAATCATAGTCGGCTATAAAATTACATGTAGCAAAAGCGAAATAATTTAGTATTAAGTTGATATCTTGTGTATATACATTACTAAAAATACTAACAGGTTTTAATTAACTTAATAAAAAAGCACATAAAGTAAAAACTGCATGAAATAAAACACATATAAAATTAACTAAAAAGAAATTGCATGCACAGTCTCATGGATGGAAGAATTAAAACAAAAAAACTTGGACAGCACGGATATTTATAGCATAAGAAAATACAAAGTTTAGAGGTAGTTAGATTTGAGAGTGTTTCAATAAGTTTATATCTTCCAACACAATCGAACTAAAAAATTGTATAAAGTAAAGGCAGTTAAGAAGTAAAAAATATTGAATTGATCATATTAGCATATAGCTAGGTCATTTGACAGCGATAGGTAAATAAAAGTGAACCAAGCCAATCGATTCTATGTGCAAACCTTAGGGAAATATACCCAAGAAGTGATCAACATACGCCACATCAGTGTTTTAGCAAAGCTAGTATCCCATTGGAAGTAAAAATTAATGAGTGTTTTAATTTATCTTCTTGGTTTTATATCAGTATATTTCAATAATGTTGAAAACAGCATTCTATTTGAAAGACCCAGGAGTCAACGATATTTAGAATAACATATTTATAAAATTCATAAGCATGCTCTCGTCAAACATTTCTCCCTGGATTTACAACGCCCACGCAGTGAGCGAATCAATTATTTTTTTCTTTAAATGAAAATAAATCGCTATTCCATTCAATCAGATGCAAAAAAACGTTGGATGGTATATCCACGGATTTATATTATTTTGTAATATAAATCCGTGGTATATCTAAAATATAATTTGGTGCTTTCATAAAATGTAACCATAAACTCGCAAAACAAAATTTCTAAATAGTACTCTCTGTAAATGAAAATATAGAGTTAACTCTCTAAAAGAACAGCAGAAACAATACAAAATTTAGCGTTGTACACCCCTTACAAACTGATGCAAGTAATAAAGTATAATTACTATAACGCATGAAAAATAAGGGGATCAGGGTCATTAAGATAAGGGATCCCGGATTCAATCCCTCTGATATATACTACATTAATAAAGGAATTCGACTCACTAAAGAGTACTACATTAATGAGGGTATGACATTATAAAAAAGGGAACCAGGCCCATTAAAATACAACACATGAATAAGGGAATAAGGCCCACTAGCACACACACCATATGAATAGAGAATTAGGGCCACTAAAATATACTACATGAATAAGGGAATCCGTTAAGACCGCTAAAATATATCACACTGATACGGAAATCTGGCCCACTAAACAATACCACAGTGGATAAGGGGAAAAGACCCATGTATATCACATCGAGTAGAAAATCACGCCCACGAAAGGATACAAAACGTATGAGAGAATCAGGCCCACAAAGGAATTCCACATGGCTAAGGGAATCTGACCAACTAAGGTATATTGCGCAGGATATAAAATATTTTAATGTAATATATGTAATATTAAAGAAAAATGAAATTAAATAGTACAGTCATATTAATAGTAAATTCAATTCAATAGTAAAGCCACATCGATTGCAAATATATTTTAAAAGTAAAGTCACATCAAAAGTAATTCAATTTTTTTTTTAAAAAGTCGCATCAATAGTAAATCAAATTCTATAGTAAAGACACCTGAATAGTAAAGTAACATTAATAGTAAATCAAATTCTATATCTAAACCATATCAATAGTTAATCAAATTAAATAGTATTGTCATATTAATAGTAATAAAATTTTATAGTAGAGACACATATAAATAGTAAAGACACACAAATAAAAAAGACACAAAAATCAAAAAAAGACACATAAATAGTAAAGACAAATTAATAGTAAAGACACATAAATAGTAAAGACAAATTAATAGTAAAGACACATAAATAGTAAAGACAAATTAATAGTAAAGACACATAAATAGTAAAGACAAATTAATAGTAAAGACACACAAATAAAAAAGACACATTAATAATAAAGACACATTAATAGTAAAGACACATAACTATTAAAGAGAAATTAATAGTAAAGACACATAAATAAAAAGACACATTAATAGTAAAGACAAATTAATAGTACAGACACATTAATAGTAAAGACACATTAATAATAAAGACACATCAATAGTAAAGACACATTAATAGTACACATTAATAGTAAAGACACATTAATAGTAAAGACACATAAATAAAAAAGACACATTAATAGTAAAGACACATAAATAAAAAAGACACATTAATAGTAAAGACACATTAAAAGTAAAGTAAAATTCAATAGAAAATCAAATTCAATAGTAAAATCAATAGTAATACATCAATAGTAAACTTTACATTATGACTATCTAAGTGTAATTAGTAGGTGTACAGGTCAAAGTTAAATAACTTTAGATTTTGCCATAATTTTTCTTCAATTTCATAGTTTAGTTCATGTGTATAAACAATAACCCACGTAACTCACAGAAAGTTCTATAAATGTCCTTCGGCATGTATTGTTAACTTTCAATTGATGAGAAAAGTGGACCAGCCTTTTTATATTTTACGCAGATGTTATGTTTATTGTAAATATTTTTCGTTTTCAATTTCTGGTCAATGACCATTATAGTAATCAATATTCCTAAATAAATATAAATATATTCTAATAGCCAATACAGCTCCACTCGAGAAAGAAAATGTAATGTGCATAATGTCACTTTAATCAAACACAAAAGTAAATTACTTTAAGAGGCAATCCAATTCAATATTAGAGCCACGTTAGATACATCGGTGGTAGAGGAACATCAGCAGGAATTGAAATTCAATAGTAAAGTCACAGAGATAATAATGTAACATAAATAGGAAATCAATAGAAAATCCAACTCAAAGGTATAGCCATATCAATGGTAGAGCAACATCAATATGAAAACAAAATCGAAAGTTAAAGCACATGAATAATACATCAACATCAATAAGAAGTAACACATTCAAAAGTATTACCACATGAATAATAATGCTTTATTATTCATACATCAATAATAAGTCAAATTCAAAAGTATTACCACATGAATAATAAAGCAACATCAATAAGAAATCAAATTCAATAGTATTACCACAAAAATAATAAAGCAACATCAATAAGAAGTCACAAATTCAATAGTATTACCACATGGATAATAAAGCAACATCAATAGGAAGTCACAAATTCAATAGTATTACCACATGAATAATAAAGCAACATCAATAAGAAGTCACAAATTCAATAGTTTTACCACATGAATAATAAAGCAACATCAATAGGAAGTCACAAATTCAATAGTATTACCACATGAATAATAAAGCAACATCAATAGGAAGTCACAAATTCAATAGTATTACCACATGGATAATAAAGCAACATCAATAGGAAGTCACAAATTCAATAGTTTAACCACATGGATAATAAAGTAACATCAATAGGAAGTCACAAATTCAATGATTTAACCACATGAATAATAATGCAACATCAATAGGAAGTCACAGATTCAATAGTTTAACCACATGGATAATAAAGTAACATCAATAGGAAGTCACAAATTCAATAGTTTAACCACATCGATAATAAAGCAACATCAATAGGAAGTCACAAATTCAATAGTATTACCACATGAATAATAAAGCAACATCAATAGGAAGTCACAAATTCAATAGTAAAACCACATGGATAATAAAGCAAAGTCAATAGGAAGTCACAAATTCAATAGTATTACCACATGGATAATAAAGCAACATCAATAGGAAGTCACAAATTCAATAGTTTAACCACATGGATAATAAAGCAACATCAATAGGAAGTCACAAATTCAATAGTAAAACCACATGGATAATAAAGCAACATCAATAGGAAGTCACAAATTCAATAGTATTACCACGTGAATAATAAAGCAACATCAATAGGAAGTCACAAATTCAATAGCATTACCACATGGATAATAAAGCAACGTCAATAGGAAGTCAAATTCAATAGTAAAGCCACGAAAATAGGTAAACAACAACAAGAAAAGTTAAACAATATTAATTGTATAGAACAACACAAATAGGAAATCAAGGTCAATGATCGATATAGCGGTTGTGAAGAAATATCAATAGAAAGTATACCAATTCAAATAGTAATGCAAGACCAAGATCAGATGTATACTAACACTAATAGTAAATCAAAGTCAACGAGAAAGCATGCAAAACAAATAGTAAAGAAACATCAAAAGAAAATCATTTCCAATATTAAAAATATTTTTTTTTCTGTAGAAATGTTTCCCAATATGAAACCACGATATGAGTGTATGATACATTGTGTTCATTAATTAATGTATGAATCCTCAGTTGCCAGTACGTGTATTATAATCGATTTGTTGTTGACATCTTGTCACAGACATTAGTGTACCTTGTTAACATATATATACATCTTGTAATATCGTTTTTTCTACTCTCCATCATCTTTCTAATATCTTGTACATAGAAACGTTGTCATATGTTACTAAGCTCTTTATTTTAACAGAAATTAGAGAAAATCAGAGCGTTAACAAAACAAAGGTGTGTGTATTGTTTGAAATTTAATTACACAACCTACGTGATTATTATACATGTAGATAGCGGGATATTTTTTTTAATAAATCGTGCTTTTATTCCATGCAGCTTTTTAAAAGCAATTGCAAATATGGAACTGTAATTTATGACAAGAGCATT